ATTTGGAGTTCTGGGCCTTCCCAACTCTGGCAGACGCCTCGCCTCCCTTTCTCGCGGCGCGACTCGTCCTGTGTTATCTCGTAACCAAGACCAATCTCCTCCGCTCGATGCCTCGCGATACGCCTCCCGACGTAGTGTCGTATTCGACGGTGGTGGCAGCGTGCCGACGCGGGGGAGCCACGCAGCAGGCGCTGGACTTGCTCGACGAGATGAGAGTGGGCGGCGGTGACGGCGGCGGCGACGGAGGAGGGGGCCCCCTGCCGCCCGCCCCGAACGCCTTCACCTTCACGACCGCCGTGACTGCGCTGGCGGAGGCGGGCCGGTGGCGCGAGGCCCTGCAGATGTACGACGACATGCCGTCGTCACTGCCGCCAAACGAGGCGCTGCTGCATGCGGCCGTCGTCGCCGCGTCTGCCGGCGGGGAGTGGCGGCGGTCGCTCGAGCTGCTCGGCGTGCGTCTGGCGGAGGGCGGCGACGAGGGCGGCGACGAGGGGGAAGGCGGAGGCGGAGGAGGCGGGGGCACGGCCGGGGCGGGAGGGGCGGGTAGGTCGGCGGGCGCGGAGGCGCTGCTTCCGCGCGCCTCCTCCTTCAATGTCGCTATCCGCACTTGCGGCGAGGCGGGACAGCCGCGGGCGGCGCTGGCGCTACTCCGGCACATGCGCTCTCTCGACGTGAAGCGGTCGCTGCTCACGTACAACGCGGCCCTTGGCGCCATGGCGCAGGGAGGGTGCTGGGAGGAGGCGACGGAGCTGCTCGCCGAGATGGGGCGGGAGCGGGTGAAGCCGACCCTGATCTCGTTCAATCTCGCGCTGGACGCCTGCGCAAAGGCAGCGCGCGGAGACGCGGCGATGGACTTGCTGCAACAGTTGCGCGGCAGCAGGCGGCTCGCGCCGGACGTGGTTTCGTACACGTCCGTCATCACCGCCTTCTCGCGCGCCGGCGACGTGGCGCCGGTCCTCGGGCTGCTTGGTGCGATGGAGGAGGGGGGGACCGCCGAGCCCGACGACTTCACATGGTCGTCAGCGGTCGCGGCGTGCGACCGGGCGGGCGAGTGGGCGCAGGCCCTCGCTCTCTTCCGCGGCCTTCGAGCCGCGGGCGGCGCCACCTCGGCCGCCGTGTGGAACGCGGCGCTGTCGGCCGCCGGCGCTGGGGGGCAGTTCGAGGAGGCGTCCACTCTGTTGGCCGAGATGCGCGCGGCGGGGTTCGAGCCCGGGCTGCGCGCGCTCAACGCCGTCCTCCGCGCCGCGGAGAGCGCCGGCGAGGGCGAGGCCGCGATGGAGCTCCTCTCGGCGATGCGGCCCGGCGCGGAGCCCGACGCCGCCTCGTACGCTTACGTCGTCGGCGCGCTCGGGCGACAGGGGCGGGCGGAGCTGGCGCTGGGCGTGTGGGGCGCGATGCTCGACGAGGGCGTGAGAGCGGACGCGCGCTCTTTCGCTGCCCTCCTCGCCGCACTCACCGCCGCCGGCCGGGCGGACGCCGCGCTGCAGACGTGGGAGGACGCTCGCTCTGCGGGGTGGGATGCGGCGCTGGCGGCGCCGGTGGCGGCCGCGGCGATGGACGCGGCAGGCGCCGCGAGCGACGCGCGACGAGCAGTCGAGATCTTTGGTCTCGTCAAGAGCAGTGGCGAGACGCCGTCGGCGGGCTGCTATCGCGCCGCCATCGCCGCGTGCGAGGCTGGTGGCGAGTGGCGGGCGGCGGTTGGCCTCTGGGAGGAGATGGGCCGCGCCGCCATGTCGTCGCCTCTCGTACCGCTCTCGAGCGCCCACAGCGCCGCCTTCGCCGTCACGCGCGCCGCCGCCGCCCGCGGCGAGGCGGGCGCCGAGGCGGCGCGGGCGCGTATCGCGGCGGTGGCGGTGCAGCAAGGCGTGCCGCTGCTGGCGCTCGCCGAGGCAGAGACGTGAGAGCGCGCGCGGGGCGCGTCTTAAGGGTTGCCGATTCTCTCTGGCATTCGGATCGAGGGGCAGCGATAGCACTTGGCAGGCTGCGGTGGTTACTCTGTTCGCAACCATCGGTGTCGAAACACCGCTCCGACGCGCTCGACTCTAGTGGGTGCCCCTTGACTTCTTAACACTACTCACTAGAGCTTGCTGCCTTGCTCTAGAAACCTCAAACCATCCTGCAAGCTAGGCTCCGTAAGACAAAATTGTTTGTCGTCTGTCATCAGTCCTTTATCTCTCTATCTGTACGTGGACTGGTATATTTTCACACGCAGGCTCGAAATCCACTGCGTTAGCGAGATACTTTCAGCTGAGGTGCGTGCCACACGGCCTTCTCTGGTAGGACGGGAACGAGATGATAGTAGGGAGTAGAAGAAAGCAAAGAGGAGCCCTGCGCACGCACGACTCCGCAGGAGAAGCCCCTCCCCAGACGAAACACAAGGGAGAGGTGGGTGGGTCACAGAAAACTGCGGCCGCCAGCGACAGAGCGTCTCGCTGGCGGACGGCGAGAGGAACACAAAGGGACGTCCGGACGTCCATCCACTGGGATGAGATAACTGGAGATCTAAGGTCGAATCTCCCGATTCCACAGCCGCCCACAGGAGCGCCGCCTCAACACGGGGTCTCGGCTCTATCGAGCCAGAGGCGAACGAACTTGCTGGGCTCGTCGCCAAACGCCGAGCTGCGCAACTCCACGAAGTCGTAGTCGTGGAGTGTCAGGCTGCTCCACCATCACTAGATCGGCGTCTACGCACAGGCTCCAGATCACCATTGCGCAGCCCCAGAAGGCCCGTCCATCGGCCATCTTGAGGGGGAGGCAGTCGGTGTCCTGACGCAGCTGTTGGAAGCATGGGAATTCGGCGTACTTGCGGCCATGCTATCACGCCTTGCGACAGCCTGTCGGCGCAGCTGACCGTGCCATGATGCACAATTGATCACCTGCATAGCTCGCGGCCTTAGTATTAAGCATTCAGTGACGACCTGATCGTACGGCCAGTAGGAAGGTGTCCTTCCAGCTGCGTGCACGCTTCTGGCGCAATGCGCGTCACCTCGGATGGGCTGCTGGCACTCTCGAGGCTATGCCTACACAGCCTCGTGCGCATGGGCAGTCAAGAGGGACCATGCACCTTCTCAGGACAGCGCCGGTGCCTCTCTCTTGGACCGGCAAACTTGGTGGTCTCGTGTCACCAATGTGGGACCAGTGCGGCATCGCGCCATCGACAGCTCTGAACTGCGCCTCACCACTGACCGGGAAGGCCGCCAAGTGGGCCAGCACAGGTCGCACATTGTGGCAGCAGTCAGCAGTGCATGGCTGATAGCTAGAGCAGCAGCGTCAGGGTCGCAGGGTCGGATCGTGTCAAGCCTCTCGCCCGGCCGGCCGCGTGCAGACGTCGGCCTGTCTGCTGTCTGCAGTGATCTGTCGGCGGTCAGTACGACCGATCAGGTCGGAGTTTTCTGATGGTTGGAGGGTCTATCTGTATGTACTCCTCGAGATCTCTCCAAATCTGCCCTCTGATTAACCTAGCTTAATCGGGAAGTCGGTGCTCATAGAGACTCATAGAGCCGGAGCCCCGTTTCCGCACTGCTGCGCGGCGCACGGTGTGGGCCGGGGGCCCCCGCGCCGGCCCAGAGCCTCCGTGTGGACTCGCAGCTCCGGTTGGATGTCGGCGACCTAAAGCTCGGCGGTCGTCGCTTCGCGCCGGCCGACTCAATGTTTTATACGATTTACCCGCAAGAGGTGTCCGTTTTATTTGCATATGCCATAATTATCTTGGCCACGCCCACGGCCACGATTACCGATTATTGCAATACGCCCCGGTCACTCCACGCTCTGACGTGACAAGTGAGGCGTGCTCCCTCTAATGGGGAGTGCGTTCCTCCACGGGGGCTGCGTTCCTACTCGAGCTGGCCACACCTTCCTAGACATTACGGCTTTCGGCTGATCCGAGACATACTCTGGGTCACGCTATGACCTTGGCCGGAGCCACCTACAGAGAGCACTCATGGTCATGCCGCCATGCCGTCATGCGCGGCCTTCTCAAAACCTCTCCACTCTAGATTGCGCACCCCGGCGGCGGCGCTCTCAGACAACCGGGACCTCGTCGAAGACTTTCGAGCCGTCGGCGGCCAACATTTCGTCCGCTGCGGCGGCGATGGCGCCGTTGCAAAAGGCCTCGATCGGCAGCACTGAGAATGGCTCCTCGAGCTGAATGCCCGCCTCCTCGATGCCAAACAGGAAGAAGGAGATGACGAAGGTGGCTGGGATGGTGGCCCAGTGATTCCATGACTCTCCGAGCGCTTGCCAAAGGCCAAGCGGCATCAGGACGAGAAAGACGGACAGGAAGCGAGCCAGTAGCCGCGTGTACATCAGCGGGATCGGCGACTTGAAGATGCGCTCGTTGGCCCCGGTCAGGTCGACCAGGACAGAGATGGACGTATCGATGCGACCCATGTTCATGCTGTCGATGTCCGCCCGCCGCAGCGTCGCCGACATGGCTTGCAAGCAAAACATCGGCCGATTGCTTGCGGACATGGTCGCCTCGGCCTGGGCAGGCGACATCAGCCCGGCGCTCACGAGCTCGTAGAGCTCGCCGCGCAGCACGTCGTCGTCGGACGGGCCGCGGAGAAAGTTGCGCAGTGCGCGCGCGAAGGCGGTCGTCTCCGCTGCCATGCGCCGCTTGAGCGTGGTGTGGCGGGCGTCATCTGGGAAGTACTGGTTGCTCTGCCGCACGACGTTGCGGCAATTGTTGATGAGGCCTCCCCAGAGCGTGCGGGCCTCATTCCTAGCGTCGCCAATAACCGAGGTCAGGGTGGGGAGACGGCCTCGCGCCGTGTGTCCAGAGCACCGCGTGGATACACGGGATCAAGCACATTTCTTCGGGGAGATATGGGGAGACATTCCGCTTCTAGCGCGTCGTTCCAGCGCGAGTAGGCCTACAGACCGAAACAGGAGGATCCCGCCTTCATGCCCCAATTACTGCCTCGGCCAGGATCGGGCGGAGGGGGGGCGGGGGGCAGGCAAAAGCGTCAGTACTGCTACTACTGCTACTGCTACTGCTACCACATCCGCTACGACTGTTGCTACGACTATCACTGCGACTGCGGACCGTGTTTGTGCGGAAGACGAGGAGGAGGGAGAGCGCCGGCATGGCGATGGTGAAGGGGAGCGCCGGCAAGCTCATCGTCTTGAGGTTCGCGTCCAGAAAGTTGAGCGGGCCCGGGTGCACCACGCCGCCGGCCCCCTAGTAGAGGGGTGAGGGTGAGGGAGAGGGACGGGTAGGGTGAGGGTGAGGGTGAGGGTG